TCTTTGCTTGCAAATGAAACTACCTCATGTTTAGTTGTGGCATTCTCAAAATTTACAAGGTTTTTATCCCTGCCCCTTCACTCCGTATTTAATTTCTTAAAATATCGGAAACCGTCCTTAGTCACAGGCTGGATGGGTTAATAGGTTTACCCCTTTTTACTCTGTTTACATGGGTTCTATGGATTGAACTCACTCAACAGGCATGCCAACAAACACATTTACTGGCTGAGCTGTCTTGCCAGTCTCTTGGTCTGTGCTTTGATTGACCCTGAAACTTCCTTAATTTATCTTCATGGAGACTGATGCTCTTGAACAACACCTGTATTTTTTTAATGATAAAATGGTGGTAATAGTGAAAAATGATGGATGAAAAATCCCTAATCACTAAATTGGCCCAGCTATTTGCTCACAAACCAGACACTGGAATCTTTTAGAATGTATTAGCGAATGTGTTCCACCCTGCTCGCTTCCTCCCTCCCTCCCTCCCTCTCTCTCTCCTTCCCTCCCTCCCTTCTTCCTTCCTTCCTTCCTTCCTTCCTTCCTTCCTTTCTTTCTTTCCTCCTTTCTTCCTTCCTTCCTTTCTCTTTCTTTCTCTTTCTTCCTCCCTCCCTCCCTCTCTTTCCTTCTTTTCTCTCCCTTGCTTCCTTGCTTCTTCCTCTCTCCCTGCCTTCCTCACTTTCTCCTGCCCACTCTCTCTTTCCTTCCTTCCATTTCTCTCATTTTCTTCCCTCCATTTCTATCTCTCCCTCTTTCCCTCTCTCTCTTTCTTTTTCTCCCTCTTTTCTTTTCTTTATGATTTGTGGTGGTATTGTGTTCCCCAAAAATATTGTGCACCCTAATAAACTTACCTGGGGTCAGAGACAGAACAGTCACTAGACACAAAGGCTAGAAAATGGTGGCACTTGTGCCTTTAATCCTAGCATTCCAGAGGTAGAAATCCCTCTGGATCTCTGTGAGTTCAAGGCCCCATTGGAAACAGCCAGGCATGGTGACACACGCCTTTCATCCCAGAAAGCGAGCCTTTAATCCCAGGGAGTGATGGCAAAAACAGAAAGATACATAAGGCATGGAGACCAGGAACTAGATGCATTTGGCCTGGTTAAGCTTTTAGGCTTTGAGCAGCACAGTTCAGCAGAGAGCCATTTGGGATGAGGACACAGAGGCCTCCAGTCTGAGGAAACTGGATCAGCTGAGAAGTTGGCCAGGTGAGGTTAGCTGTGGCTTGTTCTGTCTCTCTGATCTTCCAGTGTTCACCCCAATACCTGGCTCCAGGTTTGATTTTATAATAAGAACGCTCCAAGATTCCTGCTACAATGATTGTCATTTAACTTCTTAAAACAAGATCAAATATTTTGTCAATTTCTCTCTTACCCTGATTCTAGGACCTCACTTGAGATTTTAGTGCTTTTGGTGAGTTCAGTGACAACCACTCATTTTCAGGGTTGTTTCTATTTCAGGTTCTAAACTTCACACTATTTCTGGGGTATTACCTAATCAGCATTCGTGCTGACTTTCTATGCATTTGGATTCCTTCAAGTATTTTGATTAGTTTCACAATGATATTACAATTATAATACATTAAAATTATCTGAGAATAATTTTTCTTCCCAATCCATCTTCTAATTCTACTGAAATAATTTATGAATGATTTTACCATGGAAGATGTAATTATGATTTTATATTAAATTCATTGACAGAAATACTTACTGCTTTATCATTTTCTTCAGCTGGACTAAGCTGTAGAAACACTACTTCTAGCCTCTAGCTCTTTCCTCCTCAAAGCCTCAAGTTGATTTAACAACCCAGGTATGCCTATGGAGAACTCCTTTGAACTCTAAACACCAGGGAAGATGGCACCAATGCCCCAGTCTGCAGAGTCAAACTTGAGGAAATGCCTTGCTTGCTCTTCGTGTAAGGACAGAAGCCGAAGTCCACATGTCTTCCTCCAAATCACAAAACCTACATTTGGGCATGGAGATATCAGAACTACATTGCTGCTGAGAGGGCAGAGAAGGAACTGTTTTCTTTACCTCCTCAAATCTTTTGTCTTCCTTTTTGTTTCTTCTTTTGAATTCCTTCGTCTCTTCTTTTCTATTAATGGATCTTTATTTTGCATTGTATATGCTTGGTTCATTTTAATAAAAACATCTATTTTAAGTTACTTTACTTTAGGAAAAGTTAGGGCATCCTAACTTTATAGAGAGTATTTGTTTTTCTTCTAGGGTTAAAGTCTCTGAGACACAAAAATTCTCTACTTCAAACAGTACTCATTGAATACTTATTCTATATTATTCACAGTAGTCTAAGGGTGTAATAATGATTATGAAAACATACATGGATTTTTGTACTTGTGAAGTTTATAATCTTGTACTAGTCAATAAATCACAAAAAAACAAATGAAAAAAATGTGTGGTAAGTGTAAGAATGAGAAATAGAGTACTTTTTGACTATAAGCCTATTCGATAAACCAAGCTCAGGGTTCTGATTGGTTGTGATAACTGAGGGTTGTAGACGAATTTCTAAACAGTCTTATTAAATAAGACACACAGAGCCAAATACAGGGGTGCAAGCTGTAGAGATCAGAACAATAGTGACAGCCACCAAACTAACTTTTGCTCACCACACCACCATCACTTCCCAAGAGAACCGAACCAGCTTCTTCCTATCTAACCTGCACCTTTATTGCCTTGCTGTTCTGCCTTCTCATTGGCTTTAAGCCCAGCCACAAGACTGGCTGTCTATATAGACCTCCAGGTCTCTATGGTTGGTACTGGGATTAAAGGCGAATGTCACCATGGTTGGCTGTGTCCTTGACCACACAGACTCTGCCTGCCATGTGATTGGATTAAGGGCGTGTGCTACCACCACCTGACTTTTGTTTACAACTGACTATGACCTCTGATCTCCAGGCAAACTTTATTTATTAACATACAAATAAAATACCACCACATTTCAGCACAAATAAAATATCACCACAGAGGGTAGAAAGACCCACAAAGAATATCTGGGTTATAGGATGCATGCCATGATGCAGAAAATGAGATGATATTGGAGGGACTCAGAGAAGGCCTCTGGGCAGATGGGTAAAAGAAAAAGATTATGTGAGGTGAGATTGACATAGGAGACATAGGGCATTTTATAGAAAACAAACAAACAAAAACAAAAAACAAAAAACAAACAAACAAACAAAAAAACTGACCACAATATCACAGGACTAAAAAGTTCCAAGTTGTGAGAGAATCACGAAGAGATGAGGGTCAAACCACATTTTCATAGCTGCTGCAGAAGAGAAGCCAAGAGAAGCACATAGTGCTCAGAAGAGGTGGGGTCAACAGCCCGGATCCCAACAGGACAATGAGAGAGGAGAGCTGAGGCCAAGCTCCGTGCCACATCCACTGCTGTAGTTGGCAAGGAAATTACCAAATAGCTGTCAGCTGAGCATCACAGGGACGGTGAGCTTCCCATATGCTGGCAGACGAGAGGGCTGTGCGGAGGATGGCTTTGAGAGCAGCAAGACAGCAAAGCCATTAAGAGGCTGTTGTGGGAGTGAGTAAGAGCCAGCAGGGTCTGAGGAGGGTAACTGTGTTCCGTGCTGGAGGCAGCTAGGGTTTATTCTGTCTGCAAACCCGAGCTCCCATGTAAGGAAGGAACCCAATGGTGTGTGGCTTTCTTTTGAACGCCCACAGCAGACAGGACTAGGCCCTTTTAAGGAAGTTCTCAAACCATTCAAAGACTCTGTTAGTTGACATTAACAGTTTCCTCAGTTTTCCTGTTTAGCAAAGAATTAAGTTCCCCAGCTCAACAGAATAAAGCCTGATTCTAGCATAGACACTCCCCACTGAAAACAGGAATTCATCCTATCACCCTGGGCTTTCCAGACCCAGGGAAGAATGGCACAGAAAATGGAAGGAAGTTGGTCAATTTTGTTAATAGTCAGTTATTACTGTTGTGATTGTTTATGTTCAAATGTTCAGGTACAATTCTGAGTAAATGAAAATTTATATTTATATTCAGTAAGTAAAACTGAAAAAAAATGAGAATTTCTTGATTTTCGAAAATACAAAGCATTGGAATTCTTAAAGATATCCGCACAAATTTTATTTGCAACAATTTTTTAATTGATAAATGAAATAAAACCAAATGTAGACCCTGCTGAAGCACATTGGTTATTTTACTGTAATACGATTATTCCACCAGACCAGAGACTTTGGAGTTTATTTGATCGGATTCTAATCCGGTGTGGACTTCTCTTTCCAGCTTCCGCCACTGTGAAGGTTTTTTGAGACATTGGCTTGGATATCCATGGCTTTTACTGCTTTTACAGCTAACACTCTTCCCTCAGCTGTGATTCTTACTCTGTTAGTTCAGTGAGTAAACTCCAGTCAGTGTCTGAGCTGGGTTCTCTGCACAGACGTGGGCAGTTTTCCAGACTTACACAGTCTGTTTCCTCCTTTCACTTTGTAATGCATTTATCCCAGGTTCATTGCACTTAACTTCCTGACTTCTCTTTTGAACACTTATCCTCACCAGGTATAAATCATCTCATTCTGCATGGCGTATTCATGGTGCCTGTAAGTCTTGTTTAATGTATCTGACCTAATTAGAATTTATCATGTCCTTTCTCTGCTTGCACATGTAAATTCAGAGTTCAGGCTGAGGAATGTTCCAGCTTCTTTATCTTTTAGTTTATTTACTCTCCCACTCTCCTTGAGAACTACTTTAAGTCTTTCTCCTGATAGTTAACCTGCACTAGTTCCCATTGCTTTCTGAGTAGGTGACTTCATACCTATTTCATCAATGAAATAATAGACATCAAAAGGAATCCTTTTGTTTTAACCCTCTTCATACAAAAGCTAGTATCTATATTCACTGTCTTGCCTTTTCTTTACTCTTTATAGTTTTTGTAAGGGAGCAGTTTCAAGCTTTGCCTCCACATAACAATGTATAAATATACTCCTGTCTGGGCTGAAAAATTCATTGAAAAACACAAGATGCCCAAGTTGATGTTTTCAATATTTATTAGTAAGGCTGATATAACAGCCTTTATACAGCACAGTTTTCATAAGTTACCAAGATACAACTTGTGTATAGTCACAAAACCAAGACATGTTTTTACAGAGTAAAACTCAAGACAAATTTACAAGCATTTGTTCTACACAATTCTCATATTTTCAGGTCAGTTTACACAATCAATAACCCAAGAATTTGCATTTGTTCATTAAATTTTTCAGAGTGTTAAGTAAACAAAAAAAATAATAAAAAGATTAGCAAATCACCAAGAAAGCATGCAAGATATGGTCAGAGAAACGAGACACATCTCCAAGTACTTCATGTGTTATTGGAAATAAATTTTATTAGGTTTTAAACTTTTCTTAGACAAGAAACACCTTTTTTAAACAGATGTGTTGTTAAGATATTAGCACACACATTAATCAGTATGGGAGCACCTGAGCACATCACTGAACACAGACACAGACACAGTCGAATGAGAATCAGTCACATGCTGACTTCCAAAGGATGAAATTAGTTCAACAGCTGCTGGGTTACCGAACGTTGAGTTATATACAGGGGAATGGATTCAGAAAATGCTCTCAGTCTACCTAGCAGATAAAGAACTTGATTAATGCTTTCTGTTTAATGTATATCTTTAATAATAGCCACATGAGACATACAGAAAACATCAATATGTCATATTCAATGAGAATGTAAGTTTCACTCATTCATTCTTGTGTTATACTAAAGGCAAATAACTATTAAGGGAAAAGCTCCCAATTATTTATCGAGCTTTCACTTTCATTTCAAACTCAAAGGGAGGGAAAGTCTCTTCTGTCATACATATATTTATAAACACATGTAGCTGTAGTTGGCTAATTTTGGACTATTTGACATTATAGCAATTAAAATAAGTTTTTAAAAATATTGTTAGTTATGATTTAAATAATAAAGTAAAAAAATACTATAAACATCTTTATGGTATTTTAATGAAATGAAGCATTGATTAAATCATTTCTAACAAATTGGGCACAATATGGTAATAAATAATCTATTTTACTCGACATCACTGCCACCACTATTGTCTCTACGGCTATCACCAACACCAAACAGCCACTCTACAATGAGAATCAGTGTCAGCTGGTTACCAGCTATAATATTCCCAGGGTACAATTATTCGAGTGTGTGTGATTCCCCAAATCAACCTCCTAGATATGCAGACAATGTATAGTTAACTATCATGAATTACTAAAATATGGACAATATTAAGGGTCAAGGGCAGTTACCTTTTAATGTTGAATATCATTCTTTTAAACAGATATGGTAATCAGATGAGTTCAGAGTCACCACAATTTTTCTTGATATTAAGTAAAATCAGAGAAAACACCAACTTCTTGCTACTAGTGTTATCTGCATCTGTAACAATGATTCTATGATTCTCCGTCTTTCATAAAAATTCACTCTGTGCTTTTTCTTCTCCAGATGAAAGATTCCTGACTACTAATTTTTTAACCAACAAGCAACTTCCATTTTTGACGACTCAATGGACTAGAAGGGAAAACAAAATGCTTCTCGAGGTGCTGCGGGAAGATTAATAACCTAGTGATTGGAGATTATAAACTTTGTTACTGTTAAGATAGAAAAGCTAATTCCAATAACATAACATAAAATAAAAAAAATGGAAAATCATGTGTTATTTACAAAAAAGTAAAAAAACACTAAGAGCCCTATTTGCAATTAAAAAAGAAATAGTTTCACTGTGAGAAGGGCAGTCGGTGTCCCTCAGGAGTGCATTCGTTTAAGAATTGGTGTTGCATAGAGCAATTCCTGTAGCAACCTAGGAGCTTGGTCAGCTAGGAACCTGGCGCACCGCACTGGCAGGTTCTTTTTCTTTTGCAAGGGGAATGCTGGTGCATGAGAAGAAGCTCTGTCCTTGACCCTCTCGACTGATCTGATTGGTCTAGCTCTATTGCTAGTTCCTTGGAACGGAGGGGTGGCTGCATCAGAAAGGCTCCCATTATTTCAGGCTTAATAGCTACTCCTGATGACCTTGCTCTGCTGGTCCCTCTGACCGTGTAGTTGTAACTAGAATGGAGGAAGCTACCTGGCTACATAACCTTTCACGAACCCTTGGAGTAGCAGTGACTGTAGGCCCAGGTAGGAGATGAACCAGAGTCGCCTGTGAACAGCAAATGGCAGATCCTTTGATGTCTCAAAATCCTCTTAGACCCCTTTCCTCCCCAGTTGTGACTGATTATAGGCTTCCTCAAGTGGAGTGTCTGCTGGAAATATCCATGGCAACCACCACAGATGTAGCAGTCTCTAAAAATAAAATGTTAGCAGTGTCCTATGTTTGAAAATTCCCATCTCCATGTTCACTTTAAAAGACTATCAGTCATAAATGGTACTGCATTGAGGGGAGAAGAGAACAGAGGAAGAGAGAGTTGGTATTTTAGGACAAAGAAAAGAGAACTTGTATTTTTTAAAATGAGTGTTAGTTATACAATCTGGCATATACGAGAATTTTTTTACTTCTAGGGTTTTACATTACTTTCAAATGTAATGGTTTTTTTTTTTCCTAAAAATGAGAAAATTCAATATCCAACCAATATTTTTGAGATGATTTCCTGTAATCCCACTTAAACCTCACATTAAATAAAGTAACAATTTTTAGGCTCAAATACTCTGCAAAGCAATTTCATTTATTTTGGGTAGAGTGTGGCAATGGGGTAAGAGCTGTGGACTTCAGTAAACTTTGTATGACAAATGACTTACATTTAATGTTCTGTCTTTTGCAGGTTAAATGGAAGTTTATATTTTAATAAAAATTAGTTTGGGAACAATTTACTGTTTTTATCCATGCTGATGCTTATCATTGGTTGGAAGTTGTTTCTCAGATATAAAAATTGAGAACTAAAAAGCTACGCAGTAATTATCTCTCAGTTTGTGTATAGAGCAATATTTGGAAATGTGCTTTCTTATTTCATAGATCTCTTTACTTAAGCATCCTGGTATCCTGTGAAGAAGGATAAGAAAACACCATTTTAGGGGCAAAGTGAATTTAATCTGCATTTTTGTGGTAATATGTGTGCAAGGTCAGTAGCAAAATCAGGACCAGAAGCCAGGACTTCAGGGCCCACTGAATGTATTTCCCACAATTCTGTGTTGCTTTCTTTATTGACACTGGTGATTAACAAGGAGAGAATGCTTTATTTTAATGATTCACACATTGGTTGTTTGGGTCTATATTATTAACATAGATCAAATATATTTTAATTTCAAACATTGACTTTTCCAACCCTCTCCCAACATTAGCTTTCTAACGATGATATTATCACCAACAAGAAAGCTGAGGAGGAGTAAAGACTTGAGGTTGAGGTCAGGGTGTTCATTATATCATCACTGAGTTTAGAGAAAAACCACAGAAAATCAGAAAGTGACAACAGTTTAATCAGTGTCATAAGATAAATATGGTTTGTTTGCCAGAACAATAATGTCATGTCTCTGACAATCCACTATCCAAGAGAAAGGAAATATGTAAAATGATGCACGTCATGGCAATTCTTCAATGAATAAACAACCCTCTTCATAGGACACAACAATTAATCTAGATGCCTTGATGCGTACGGTTGAGGATGCCTTGACTTCATGGTGCATTATAGAGATTTTAATGTTTCCAACCTAGGTACATATTTTGTGGGTCAGCATTCTTCTTTAATAACCAGTCACTAGGTTTTGTTTTATTTCTAGATAAATACAATTGAATTTTAACCTACTATTATCTTCACTCTTCACTGTTTCCACTTACCCCAAAACAGATGTGCTTTTACCACATAGAATTCAGACCTACTGCTGTATAGCTTTCTAATGTAGACACAGGGAAAACATGCACAGTTCAATCTAAAATCTGTTGTTCATAACTCTTGCTTACTTTTCCTCACAAACACAGTCACCTTCTGGTCCTGTAGAAAACTCATAGATGAACCTTATGTCAGAATCCCAAAGCAGAAAGTTTTACGAGAATATAAGACAAGGAGTTTTGAGCTTTTCAAACCAAGATTCACTCTACCTGTCCTTTCCAACAAAGTTTCTATGTGTATAAACAACTGCTTTCACTCCGCCACGACCACCATGAAAATCTTTGTGCCTTTTCCATCTGCTCTCGTGCAGTCTGCTCCAACACTTCTACCTTAAAAAAAGTCAAATCTCCTTTCATAGTTTCTCTTCACAGCTTTGAGAAATCCAGTGTCTTGGGCCAATTTTCATCCGTTTGCTTTCAATACATGAACTTTTTTGAGTCATTTTGTATTCCACACCAATGTGGTCTCTTTGATTCTTGTTTCTTATCCCATGTTGGCTCCTGAAAATGTAGCTCAGCACAGGACTGTTCAGCTACAGTCTCGATCTGAGGCTCTGTAACCCTGAGCAGACACATCTTCAATGTGTTTGAGTAGGACTGACCAAAAGTTTGTGCCAGTTGACTAGTCTTTTTCTCAGGTCTACTTTGTCAAGCCAGATACAGGCTTCTCCAATCAAAGTCTTCTTCATAAACTTCCCTCCATTGGAGAAAAGTAAAATCTAGAAACAAAGTCAGAATTATACATATAGTTATGCACAAAAAATTAACAAGAAAGAGAGGGACATGTGAGGATGTAGTACAAGTACTTGAAAGAAAAGAGAAGTATTAAAATATCTATAAATACAAAATAGTCCAGATCAACATATCTATTATCCCCCCTTAAATTTTATTATACCCCCAAATCACACACTGTGAAAGATAGGCAAGTATGATAGAGAGAGGAAAAGCTTATTTTAATTAGATATGCTTAAATTGAGGTAAAATTTCCTATTTAAAATCTGTAATTTCAGATATAACTATCACTTGTGGTTTTTGACTTGGGGTTTTACATAATTTCCTTATCACTAGAGTCCCTAAGATCATATCAAGTTCATTTCAGAAACACTCGTCATGCTTCTTCCTCACAGCTCTCCTCTTTTCAGAGGCTTTAGAGCTTTGTCTTTAATTGTTTATTCCTTCCTACCTTCATATATATATATATATATTTTTAAAGAACTTAATTTATGTGCATGTGTGTCTGACAGAGTCCAGAAGAGAGTGTCAGAGTTCCTGAAGCTGCAGCTACAGGCAGCTGGGAGCCAGCTGACATGGGTGCTGGGTGGTGAAACTCGGGTCTTCTGGAAGAGCAGCACGTACTTTTCCCATTGAGTTATCTATCTACCCAGCCCCCAGACTTGGATATGTTTGTCTCCATTGCAAGACATTAAGTGATGGTATCATGAAATGGCTTCATATATCTCCATCTACTCCCCTCTATCCACATTTCCCTTCCCCATCTTGTCTACTAAAGGCATGCTGTGTGAAAATCATTAAGCTAGACTGCAGGGGAAAAGCTAATGAAAATTAGGTCTTGCTGTAGTGAAATAGTGGCAGGTAAGCACACAAATTACTGTGTAGGAGAAACTTTGTTTAGTAGCATAATAATTAAAATAATTTGTGAATATTGTGTCATGAATTATACTTAGGGATCTCAGTAAAAATCTATATTGAAAGATGGAATATGGTGATACATGAGAAGGAAGCTTTGAAGGAGAGGAAAACATGAGCAAAGAACTCAAGGCTGAGCTAATTTAAAGAGACTCAGAATTGTCTGGAGTATTGATGAATGGAAAAGTGACATGGAACTAAGACTGAGTCAATATAGCTAGAGCTCGTTTCGGAGGACTTTAAATGATTCAGGAAAATGGTGTTTTACTGAGCAGCTTGAAGGGGAACCAACCAGTGTTTAGTAAAGAAAACTCTGGCTGCAGTGTGGTGAATGAAAGAGGTGAGACCTCAGTGAGAAGCCGATAGGTGAATTACCAACATTCTGTAAATAACAAAAGGAATTAGCCAAAAAGCATTAGTGAGTGTGACCATGGGAGCAAGAGAAATCCACCTAAGGTAGCAAAACAGAGTAGAGAATTAGTGGATGATTGGATAGAGTGAATGGGCTGAGGGGTCAAAGGGCTCCTGGGGTGATACTTCTAATGATTAACTACTATACAGTAAATGATCAATATATAAACACTGAATAATTGAATGAACAACAAATATAATATGGATGAAAAAGTTCATCAGTAATATATGATGCAGTTACCTGAAGAGAATGGCCTGCAGGACTAAGGCTGAATCTAAAAGTTTCATTGAAGGAAGGCTCTCGATCATGTCTGCATACCCTTGTTTTCTTCTTGATAACCTTTTTTTGAGTAGAGATGTTTATCACATATACTTTCACATATAAATCTGAAAATAAGAAGTAAGCCCGTTAAATGTCCATCAATCAATCACAGTGTTTTCTGATGCATGATGATGTTCTCCCTATATTCTATACAAGCACAGTGAATTGTATACAATTTGTTGTAGAAAGCATACAGTGATTGCAAGTACACAATTTTCTTAGAAATTTGTTAGTTTTACTGTTGTTTATTAATTGTAGCACTCCAATTTATATGCTGGAAAATCTAGCTGAAGACTAGGAAATGATTTTATCCTTAAAGTGGAAATTAAATTCTTTTTTTCACATTTTTTCTAATGTATTTCATGCACAGGTAAAGATTAAGGTAGAATTTCTCAGAATATTTGAGACACAGTCCTAGTCAACTAGCAGATATCATTCATTGATTTTGATTATGAGACTGGATACCTGGTAAATGATCCGGAGACTTAAATTTGTAGGTGATATTTCTGCACTGGAGAATTTCAACTATTACTTGTTCACCATCTGTTTTCATTTCCTTTTTCAGTGCTAGCTTGATTTCTCCCATTACTTGAGTTTTTGCTAGAAGAATTTAACAAAAACAAGTTGAGTGACAGTCGCTACTTATTAAATATTTAACTTAATCACTTTCATATGTTCACTTACTGGATATTTTATCAAGTGCTAAACACCTTATTGTATGTTATGAACATAAGGCACAGTCGAAACCCTTAAGGAGTAAATGGCTTCATGGGATCACATCATTTAGATACTTGTAACAAAGCATGCTAAATATGATGGTAGGCTGGTAACCAGGGAGATAAAAGAAATTGTAAGGAGATGTATTACTCAGCTGTAGAGGCTTAGGCTTGAAGAAGTAATAGATAACCTTGTAGGAAGAAAGACAAACACAGAAATTACAAAATTCTAATACAATATACAGGGAACTAAAAAGATTTAAAATGTGGTATGTTGTTTGCCAACGGTTGTGTATCACCAGGCTTGTTCCAGAACACATGGTAGAGTAACCAACTCTCACGGTAGAGTAACCAACTCTCACGGTAGAGTAACCAACTCTCATGGTAGAGTAACCAACTCTCACGGTAGGGTAACCAACTCTCACGGTAGGGTAACCAACTCTCATGGTAGGGTAACCAACTCTCATGGTAGTGCTTCCATTTCCTGTTTCCTTCGTAAAACAGAGACAGTAGTGATGTGCAATGGTAAAATTACATAAGGCAAAAGTGAAAGTGATCTAAACTAGATTCATTTTAGTTTCTTCTGGTGTTTTATCTTTTTTTTTTTAATTGGAGGAACATTTCATGCCACATCAAATCTGTTATTAATCCACCCATTTCTTTATTAATTCATGGACTCATTCACCAAATCATAATTCATTCACTATTCTACTTTGGGCTGAGCATCCTGCTAACAGAATGAATACAGTATGTAGAGAATCCTGAAGCATGAATGCAAGTTTATTTTTAAATGAGAATGCTACATTTCAGATGTTGATAGATATAATCCACATAATGAAGACTCTTGATTTTTTAACAGTACAAATATAGCCTGAAAACAAATATTTGGAAACACATTGTTGGCAGCTGTACTTAAAACAAAATATAAACTTAGATATTTTAAATATTCATTCATCCAGGTTCACAGGATTTTTCAGCTATTGGGGGGAGATATTTTAATTAGATATTTCTATGGATGAACAAATGCCTAGGAAGAAAAGTTCTGAAGCATATCGTGACGTGCTTTCACAGAGAATGTGACACAGGACCTCATCTTGGAAAAGAACTGGAGTTGGGAGTGGGATGAGGAGGAACTGAGATGCAAGGGAAAAGGAATCCTTCTGGACTAAGGAACAACACGTTAGCAAACAGGAATATCAAATGGGAAATCCTGGCCTGAGGGACTGCGAGGTTCTGTTCATTGGGGCCATGTTAACAGCTTTAGCTACATATTCAGAGCACAGGCATCTATTAACAGTTTTTAAATACAGTTGCCAACAATGTATTCTCAAACATTTATACTTTAAAAAATCAGAAGGGCCTTTTTATGTGGATTATATCTGTCAACATTTAGCGTTTTAAAATTCTAATTTAAATATAAAGTATAAACTTAGACATTTTAAATAATCATTCATCCAGTATGAATGAAAATATAAGTAAATGAGGAATATTTGTTTTATGTACTTTTCAATTTTTCAAAATGCTTGGCTTCACAACAAATGTAACCTCATAAATTCTACATGAAATCCACGGTGACATACTATTTCACAGAAGTGTGTGAAGTTCATTCAGGATTGGAAATAGAAAGTATGTTTTGACATCCATTTTGAACAATTGTCTATAATTTTGATATGATACTAAGACTTAACTAGATGCAGTTTCTTGAAGGTTATGGGCAAAGTAAGATCAGAGGAAAATGGACACTCCTAAAGTTCCAATTTAATATAAAATAATAATCAGAAAACTGTGAAATTACTTCAATAATGATATCACTAAGAAGGTCAAAAAGTGATTCAATTTCTAACTCCAAAAGCTAGAAAAAAATAAAAAATGAAACAAAACAAACAAAAAAGCTAGACAGTACCAAGAAAGAAATAATAGAAGATAAAAATAAAAATTTGTGAGGCAGAGAATTAAACAGATTCATAGATAACATTAACATATCAAAATTCTGGAACTTTAACAAATATTAGCACAATAAAAAGGCAATAGTGAATTAGACTATGGTATGTGGGCCTTAAGTATGACATTTTAAAATTATGTGCTATAAACATTTTAGTGTCATGAGTACATTCTAATACTGTTTGGCTTACATTTTGTTCACAATTTATTGCAGACAAAAAAAAACCCATAAATCTCATCCAATATATTTACTTGAACTTGAGTGAGCCAGAATTCAGTTCTGGTTCATTAACTTATTTCTGAAACCTGTCTCCCAATATAGCTCAGCCTGGCCCAGAACTTGGGAGCCTTCGGCCTCAGCCTCTGAAGTGCTGTGATGTCAGCATGACACATCATGCCTGGTATGTTCTTTGGACATTTAAAATGGGAATGAGTTTGTCACCAAGCCTGACGACGTGTGTTCAATCCCCAGACATCACAGAGAGGACTAAGACTCCTGCAAGTTCCCTTCTGACCTCTGCATGCACGCTGTGGCATTCCCCTGCCTCAATAAGTGAATATGTGTAAAAAAAAAAGGGGGGGGGGTGGTGCCTAGTCTTACTATATCTTGCTATGGCATGTTCAGTTTTATCCCCGGGAGGCCTGCTTTTGTCTGAAGGGAAAATGGGGAGGAGTGGATCTGGGGGACGGGGCCAAGGAGCAGTGGATCTGGGGGAGAGGGGCAGTGGGGGAACGGAGGGGGCCAAGGAGCAGTGGGGGGAGGGCAAACTGCAGTCAGGGCGCATTGAAAACAAACAAACAAACAACGACGACGACGACGACAACAACAACAAACAAACAAAATACTACCGAAACATTTTTAAAAGAATGAAAAACCCATTCCAGTCCCTTTGATCTTTTAAAGGGCCTTTCTTGGGAAAGTAAGGGAAAAAAGTCCAAAGTAAAAATTAAAAAAGAGGACAATTTAATATTCTTTAACACCAGAGAAATTAGAAAAATAAAAATCCTTAGTAAATTATTAAGCATTAGCATACAAGCAAGGAAAATGCTATAGTCAGTCTCCTATCAAAGAACCTAAACCCAGTTCTTCAGAGACAGAAAGACAGATGCCAGCAAAGGCCAGTTCATCAGTGTCCCTGACCACGTCACACACTGCAGAAGTTTGCAAGGACAGGAGAGAGCTGGTCAGCACAAGAGGACCGAGACCTCCGCCCTGAGAGGATGAGCAGTGAGCTCACACCCAGTCCAGGAAAGCCTTGCTAAAACTTTGAATTGGCAACCTCGGTTCATCACCATGGGCTTCTCTGAGTCTGAGCAGTCAGAAGAAACAGGCATGGTGCCCCACTGTTGAGTCTCCAACGTCTTGTCCGAGGAATTCACAAAGCTTACAGGATCTCTTCAGAGGATGAAGACATCCCTGTGTTTGCTGGATTGAACACTTTGACTGAATCTCAAATAGTTAGGTAGACTGATTATCACGTGACTGGATCCCTGTCTCCAAAGCCATAGAAAGACAGAGAAGTGTCCTCCATTTATCAAACCATTCCTAAGGTGAAGGGAGGGGAATTCTCTTTTTTAAATTATTATCAGTATATGTGAACTCTACAAAATATTTGGCTTTATTGCAACATTTTTCATACATGCCTATAGTGTAACTGGATTATATTCACCTCCCATGATCCTTTGTTTTCCCCACGCCCCCTCCCTTAACCCCTCCCTCAGAAAGAGACTTCTCACTGAAGAGTAAGTAGTCACTCACTTTGTGAGGCCAACAGAAGTGGACACAAGTGATAGAATTAAAGTCATTGAAGCCTTTCCCCCTGGGATGTCCAAGTCCCCTCCCTTTTCTAGGCCCAAACTCCAATAACCAATTATCTGTCGCCTCCTACCTTCTCACTTGGGAGAAAGGTAAATGAAAAACTTGTTAATTAAAGTTCCCAAGTCATCAGACTGTCTGCTTCCTTCTGGGAAGTTTAACCTCACATCCTTCTCCGTGTGATATTTGTGAAGCGTTTGATAAGTTTCACTCTGTTTAAAGATTTTTTTCCCCCTTGCTCTTTAGAATTTCTAACTGAAGAGAGAAAAGTACATGTTTACTGAAGTCATCTTAAAGCAGTTTTTTGAGTGATTTTGTCTTCTGAAGCCGACTTTCATGTGAAGATGAAAAGAAATCTGTGTGTCTGCTGTCTTCACAGGGTGGGCACTGGCTCCAGATCTGGGTGAAACTTGGAGTCCCAGGGTATCACATACATAGAGAATGTGTGATAATATTTTGGAATAAGGGGCAAATAGCAGGAGAGAAAATTTCAAACAATGTCTGTGTCTTGATGTCTTAAAATTCATGCTTCTTTGATTGTAATAAAAGAACAATATTTTAAAGCTAGGTTAAAAAAATGAATATTTTCTATACAATGAAATGGTAAATATTTAAGGTAATAGTCTGATTAACCTGATTTTAATGACACATAAAGCACACACAAATTGAATCATCATATGGTAGCCCACAGATATGTATAGTTGTAATGTGTCAATTTATGAAACTAATAATAATAATGTTATTCAAAAAAGAAATAAACTTATTCTGCAATGTAGCACAAACTTAACACTTAGAAAGAAAGAGAATAAAGCAGAAATCATGGCACATGCTTTTAATCCCTGCATTTGGGAGGTACAGACAAGAGGCTCAAGAGTTCAAAGCCAGCCTCAGCTACACAGTGAGTTCAAGCCAACTTGGCATACATGAGACCCTGTCAGAAAGAAAGAAGAGTGGGGAATAGAGGTAGAGAGTTATAAAGTATATGTTTTAAAAAAATGACCAAATAATATTGGAAGTGAAAATGAAAAATAGAAGTTGTACTGATAATCTCACTTTGAAAGTATTAATAGATAAGAAACATCTGGAAACAAAACTAAGGGAAAAGTATTAAGGTAATACTACACAAA